ATTCTTAAATAAACACTTTAGTAAATGGAAGCTGAGAGTGGGAAGTCCTCCTGTGAAGCAAGGACYGCCTCTCCCTACACCGTGTCTGCTACCTCTGCAATACGTCTGCCACAGTAAAACGGTTGTGGTTGCTCTTCTGTATAAATGTTCTCATTAATTATTCTGGCTTTGTGGCTGAAGATCAGAGTCATGGAGTTATTACTATTAAAGTTTAGTGCTAATGCTTATTGCTGGTCATATTTATTACTTTTCCTTTGCAATAGTTTGGTGATCTGAGCCCTAAGTTTTCACTGAAATTGTAGGAGGAAATGCATATAAAATCAAAATTTGGATGTTCATCAGTCACCGGGATTGACAAAACATAGATAAAATGTAATGGTAATTTTAATATACACTTAATAACAAGCCAAACTACTGGTTTGTTACTCAGAATTCATCCAAAATTCACTTTGTTGATTTTTACCTTAAGGACCAAGTCACCTCAGGGAGATAATCTTTGTTCTGAGGCAGTATTTACGGTTAGTTAAGGCTACGTTTTGAGTAATTTAATGTATTTATATATATGTGTGTGTTTGCACACGTGTGCAGGGYGCTGTGCCCGCCGCAGAGGGCAGCCCCTCTGCTCCGTGGCGCCCGTCCCGCTGGGCCCTGCGCCTCTCCCTGCCCGGCCCTGTTTCGCGCCGGGTGACGCGCGGAGGGGCCTTCAGCCCCGGCTGCGGCCGCGGGGCGAGGGCAGCGCGGCGGCGGCCAGGGCCGCGGGCGAGCGCGGCGCGGGCGGGCGGCACGGGGCGGCAGGGGCCACGCTGCCCCGCACACCGGCCAGCACTGGCCAGGGAGACRGGCCCGGCGAGGAGCGCCAAGCGCCGCATCCCGGCGGGCCGCCTCCTGCGGGATCCTGACGTGTCCTCCTGCGGGATCCAGCCGTTGCCTCGTGTGGGATCCAGTGGAGTTTCCTTGCACAGGATCCAGCTGTTGCCTCGTGCAGGATCCAGTACTTTCCTCATGCGGGATCCAGCAGTTTCCTCACGTGGAATACAGCTGTTTCCTCACGCAGGATCCAGCCGTTTCTTCATGCGCGATCCAGCAGTTTCCTCACGCGGGAGCCAGCCTTTTTCTCACATGGGATCCAGTAGTTTCCTCATGTGGGATCCAGTAGTTTCCTCGTGCAGGATCCAGCCACTTCCTCACATGGAATCCAGCAATTTCCTCGTGCAGGATCAAGCCATTCCTCATGTGGCACCCAGCAGTTTCCTCACATGGAAACCAGCAATTTCCTTGTGCTGGATCCAACCATTCCTCATGCAGGATCCAGTCGTTTCCTCACACAGAATCCAGCAGTTTACTTGCGCACAACCCAGCAGTTTCTTCACGCGGGATCCAGCAGTTTCCTYGTGTGGGATCCAGCAATTTCCCCACATAGGATCCAGCCGCTCCTTACACGGGATCCATCCGTTTCCTCACGCGGGATCCAGCCACTTCCTCGCGCGGGATCCAGGGGAGCCTCCCCGCGTGCTCGCGAGCCTGGCCGCGCGCGGGACGTCCCGGGT